CGTGCGATGGTTGGGGTACCTGCTGGTTGGGGTACCTGTTGGTTGGGGACGACGAAGCATTGGTTATATGACGGTAGGGCGTTTCGGAGAGGCATGTTAAAAATTCGGATGTCGTTCTTGAAGAGTGATCACCGCCTATTTCTAAAGAACCCAAAAGAGTGGGTCTTGACCCGGAACAAGCCGAAGGTGACGGCTTCCCCACCGGCACCACGAACGGCGGAGCCATCACGTGCGGAGTTGCGCGAAATGTTGTCTTTGCTGGAGAACACACCTGAAGAACATTTGGCGGAGTTGCACGTGGCGGAAACGCTGAATCGGATCTTTTTGTGGCTGCAGAACATCCGCGGAATGTTATTAGGACTAGGCGGTGCGGCGGTGGTGTTGAATGCGCTTCGGGGTGAGTCTAGCGAGGTCCTCGCGCGAGCCTGTTACCATCTCCTTTTGGACGAGAATGAGGAATGTGTGGAACTCACGACACATGCGACTGGAAGTGTGGTCGGAAGCACTATTGCGGGGGGGAGTACATTTAGCCCCGGGGGGGGGAGCACTATTGCGGGGGGGAGCACCTCCACCAGAGAAAGCCCGGGGGGGGGTAGCCCTGGGGGCGGGAGTCCCGGGGTCGGCGGCGGAAAGCCCGGTGTTAGTCTTGTAAAGCAGAGTGTAAAGCCGCGCTCCAAGCCGACCGAGTGTGCGCGACCAGAATATTTGCGATTAGAATTTGTGCGGCAGATCGAACCGGTGATCTTAACTCTGCACCAGTTGCTACGAAGCGAGAGTTCAACTGTGTTAACGATTGCTTTGCACACGTTGCACAAGTTATGTGCGGAGGTTCCGGCGGAGTTTAGTCTGATACCTCGAGCGACGTTGCTGCGATGTGCCGAGTTGCTCCATGTGGCGGAGTATGACGTGCGCTACCGCATACTGAGTCTGCTTGGCAGCCGCGCGGACGAGGTGGCGGCCTTTTTGGAGGCCGCCGGCCACGAGGACCCGGCGGCAGGTTGCGATGTCGCTGGCTACGACTGGGCGACTACGGGGTATTCGGCGAAGGCGAGTTACGAGGTCGCGGCGAGGGTGGGTCGGGAGTCGCCTCACGAGTCGCCGGCTGCGCGAGGCGGGTCGGTTCGCAAGGCGGCGCCGGAGCTGTGGCGTGCTTTGGAGAAGTGTTTAGCCGTTTCTGAGTTGCAGCCGCGAGCGCTGGAATTGTTGGACCGACTCTTCCAGGCATGTCCCGGCCCTGTGTTGAACTCGCCGGTTGCCAAATACTACCTCCAATGCATCCAGGATCGAATGGAGACAGCTGCTGATGCACTTGCTCTTTTCGTCCAAGCTGCGAGCCAATTCGATCGCTCACAAGTCCGCACGTTGGCACAACCATCCCTCGCCGCGCACATCGACCAAGTCACCAAAGCCGCACGCTCTATCGACTCCTGCACTGAAGAACTCGCCCGACTCCAACTCAGAATTCAAGCCAACTATTTTTAGTACAATGCCGCCCAACCAAACAAGGTACCCACAACAAGAACCCGATGGTACTTACTCGACATACCTCCACTTAGACCCCCCCCCCCCCCC